AGTTTTTTTCTTAATCTACATAAATCGAGTTATGGGTGGCTCGCACACAACCATAATATAATACAAAACTACACTCACTACATAAACTTAAAATTTGTGTCAATAAAGGTTGCATAATATTCGAAAATGAATAAAGCTCACATTAATTTCTCTCCTTTATAGCCACCACACACAACAAAGCCAATGATGTAATTCCTGCTGGCTTCGAAGAAAATAAAACTGGCAAACTAAACTAAAACTTTATTGGTTGTCAAAATAAAATTAAATGGAGCTCTTATTCATAACAGACTACAAAACCACAACAACAAAGTAAAGTATGTATGTAGCGCTCGCCTGCAGCTTAACGATTAAAAAGCGCTCACCCAACAATACCCGTACGTTTTTAAGACTCCAAAATTTTTGTTATTTATTTTCAAATCATATCTTTCCTCCTTCACTTTCGGCTACACTTCATCGATTTTGCACTTTCACTGATATCGGCAAACGACCAACAACAAGTCCAAGGTAGATATAAAGCCATTCCCAATGCTTTTTTGCCCAAATTTACAAATTGTGGCTTTTACTCTTACCGCATCGTTTACGGCTTTATCGTACAGCACTAAAATTTATAAACACGTATTTAAATTATGTATGCACTTGTATATATATATATGTGTGTGTATGATTATCTGTATTTGGTAATTTATTTATAAAAGCAGTTAGCGCCCTTTTTTGCTTGTGCTGGCGAGTACGTGCGGCAAAAATTTTGCCTGATATTTCGCAACAAAATGGGTAAACGGTGTGAAATATGAGAAACAAAGAAGGAGGAGAAAAGCAATATGCACTTCAAGCTAACATGGAGGGACACCAAGAGTAAAAGACAATATTTTTTTTATTTAAAAAATAAAAACGAAAATGTGCGCAACACAGACTGCTTTCTTTGTATTGGAAATGTTGAACTTTTACTTAAACTCTGCATAATACCATATACATTAGGATGGTCCTTAAAATATCAACATCTAAATTTTGCATGGAGCACCCTTTTATTTTGTTCGCTAAAAATTTAAAATATATTTTAGGGGTCGCTATCAGAGACTATTCATACTAATTCATATTTAGTCATCGCCAAATGGATTCATCATGCAATATTAAGCTCCAAATACTGTCATTTGTTTTAAGTTTTCTTTTCGGAATAAGTGCATCATTTTTCAAATTTTTCTAAGTTTGATTTAAAAATAATTATTTAGAAAATACTAAGAAATTCATGTATAGGACAGAGTTAGTACGCACTTCCTAAGTTCAAAATGCATTTTTTTTATTTTTTCATTGGATAGCTTTTGAGATAAATACTGGTTTTCTGTGTTGATGACTTCATTCAAAACTAAATCGACAAGTCCGATCAATACAATGAGTACTTCGTTGGTTTGCTCGAACCAAAACTTGCTGAATTATAGCTAGCTGGTCATTTTCCAAACTTTGTCGAATTAAAAAAGATACATTTTTTGCAAGCACTGGTGGGAGTCCTAAAAGTTATTATAAAACTAGCAAATACCCGGCATACTTCAGTATTTTTGTGTTATTTGACACCCGTATTGTAATATTTCATTTATTTATTTTATCAATTTAATTAAATGAAATTTTTCAAACAGGTGGCAGCCCACCTCAAAAAATTTCTTCGGCAGTTAGCTTTCCTAAACCTATTCAGTTTGATACCCATATTGCAGTATTTATTTTATCATATTAAAGTAATTAAATTAAAGTTTTCAAACAGGTGGCAACCTTCAACAAAAATATTTTCCACTGTAATCCTTCTTCAACCTCTTTCCTTTGACAGCCATATTGCAATATTTACTTTATCATATCAATTTACTTAAACCGCAATTTTCAAACAAATGGCAACTCTCTAATTTTTTTCTTACCATGTTTTAAGTTAGATCTCTAGCAATACATTGATGAAAACTGCACTCAATTCCATGCATTAGTTTTCGAGTGATGCGCGTACAAACATACAGACAGACAGATATACAAAAATTCTAAAAATTGCTGATTTGGCTTCTATTGCTGTAATAAAAAACCCCCCGTTTTAATTTTTCTTTAATATCTATAATGTACAGACATTGGCCAGTTACCATTTTATTATACGTATAGATTTTGAAATTTTTGTGAATGCCTTTATTTTGTACGTAGCATAAAAACGGGTTGCTTAACACATACATATTTTAAGGACCACCCCAATATACATCTGTGAGTACATGTCTGTATGTCTAGCACACGTTTACTTGTTTGCGTTTATGTATGTATGTTCATTTTTTTGTCTGTTGATATTGCAGTCTTATGCTTTCAACTCTTTCCACGACCACCCACTTTTTAACTTTAACCGAAGAAAGCTTCCAAAAAACTAAAAACTACTAACAGCACAACAATAACTACAATTGCGCACGTCATTCATGCAACACAAAGTTCCCAACGTCTGCAGCATCCCATGGCAAATCGAGACGAGTTGACTGGAAATCTCAACTACTCTCCACTTTTGCTACTTAATCATGCAACACCAGTCAACCACCAAAATTGATAGTCAGAGGGATTGTGGGGACAAAAAAAAGACGCGTCATGCAACTTTCGTCTCAAAGCCTGCAGTCATTCAGACACCCAACCCAACCAGTCACCAGTCACCCATTCAGTCAGTCATGCAACGAATACAATAATAAATTTTGCAGCAAACGACTCGCCGACAGTTGAAATAAGCCTGGCTGCCTGGCTAAGGGGCCAAGTCACAAGCTAATCGCACGCCAACCCGAAAAGCGACTGACTGATGCCTGTAAATATGTACATATATTTATTGTGTGTACGAATGATACATACATATTCGTATGTATTCGACGTGGTAATCAGCTGAGTTCATATGTGCATGAGAGCATGAGAGGTGTTCGAAAACTAAGCGGCGGCGAAAAGTGCTGTGAAAAAAATTTTAAAATCACCAAAGACGGAGTTAGGTTAAAGTTGCGAACCAGTATTGGATATGTGTGAGTAGCTTCAGTTTACTGTATGAATTTGAACGGAGAGTGGCGCTGAAAATCCCTACAAGGATTACGAAATATTGCTGACAGCAGAAATCGGCTCCGCTAATTGAACAAACAGCCTGTCTACTGCCGAGGCTGCAGATTGAGAACAGCATGCATCTTGGACTGTAAGTTAACTAGAACTGAGTCTTCTAAAATTCCATTGATGACATACTACTCGAATAGCTATCAGGTATAGGTATGTTTGTTGAGCGAAAATTGGTAATCTCAGTACTTGGCCTAACACGCAGTCGAAATGGTTTGTCGGGTGATATCTCATTCGTCTCCATCCCATTTGGGATATGTTCGAAACCGCTCAGTTATATGTTGGTGGGCAAGGTTTTATTGATGGTAACCAGTGTAATCAAAATACCACTGAGCTCAGTAGAGTTACTACTTATTATGGAGCTATCAAAATTAACCGAGCTATCGAAATTTTTAGAGGTATCCAAAGTTTATCGAGTTATCGATTAATATCGATATATATGTATATTTTAGTTATCGAAATTTATCGAGCCATCGAAATTCACAGCTATCGAAATTAGTCGAGTTACTACTTATTACGACAAACTAATCTGCCTGTAAGACACCGAAATGCTCAGGAAAACGATATGATTGTCGATCTGGAGTTTTCTCAGATAAATACCAACGTCGACTCATTTTTTCATCTTTGAGCCATCGGTAGAGTTTTTAGGCCCATTGTCTTATTATTCCCTTTTGAGCTTGACCTTCGCATCTACATATTAACCGCTCTAAGAGGTTTAAGCAGATGCGCCTACATTTCTTCGGTTTCATTTCATTGAGCACAAAGTATTAAAATCAGTAACGATTTGTCTTTGTATTAAAATATTTTGTCATCTCTGGGTCAGTCTCGCTTAGAATAGGCGTTCAACGTGTTTCCTAAAATGATTTGGTGGTTCGCATACAAAGGCGAATACTAAACTTGATATAAATTAATGGAATTACGTGAAAAACTCAGAATATATCCATTTATTTTTATTACAAGTTCAATATTTAATTCATCTCTTTGATCTCGCCTTTTGTGTGTACATATAGTATAATAGTTTTAGGGGCGCCATCAGCACCTCAACTTTAAACCAAGACGAAAAGTCATGACTCTTTGTGTTCGTTGTCATTGTAAATTGTTTTCCTTTTGTTTTCATTTATTCTGTTTTTACTTTAGTTTTTTTTTTTTGTGTGATTTTCCTCACAACGAAAGAGTTAATATCATATCCCACCTCTCGTATACACTTTTTGTTAATTTATGCAATTGATGCTGTTTTCCCCGCAATAGTCTTGTTGTTGTTGCTTGCGTTTTTTTTTTTTTTTTTTTGACTGCCGGCCACATGATGTTACGAAAGATCAATGAAGTTGACGTTGAAGTCGACACGATTTTGTGCTGCTTTCATTTGCGCCCAGCCGCTTGTGATGCACTGAACGTGCGTTTTGGGTTTTCATCATTGTTATGGTCGTTAATCTTCTCTCAGCTAAGCAGTAGATACATATGTATGTATGTATTTGTTTTGAAAGAATTGTGAGTGATGCTGAAACTGTGGTTGAAAAATACGTTAGGTAATGCCAATGGATATTGTAATGTTATAGGAATGGTAATGATAATCATAATGGTAATGGTAGTGGTAATGGTAATAGTAGTGGTAATGGAATTATAATGGTAATAGTAATTAAAGTGGTTATGGTAAAGGTAGTGGTAGTGGAAACAGTAATGGTAATGGTAATGGTAATGGTAACTGTAACGGTAATGGTAATGGTTATGGAAATAGTTGCGGTAACCTAAATGATTGTAGTAATGGTAATGGTAATTGTAATTGTAATGGTAATGGAAATGAAATGGTATTGGAAGTGGTTGTGGTAATGGTAATGGGAACGGTAATGCTAATGCTAATTGTAACGGTAATGGTAATGGAAATGGTTGTGGTAATGGTAATGTCAATAGTAATAGTAATGGTAACGGTAATATATGATAATAGTAATAGCAATGGTACTGGCACGTTAATAGCCATAGTTATGGTAATGGCAATGCTTGTGGTACTGGAATTGCTGCTAAAGATAGTATCAGTTATTGCATACGTTTTCTGGTTTGTAAAATGTGTGGTTGAACTTATTTCCATGCACCAACAACACATGTACATATTTACACATGAATGTACATATATGTATGTATATATAGCTATAGCTCATTCACCACCTAGCAAAATGTCGACACACAATAAGTGCACGAGCTGCCGAAAGTGTATACTTATTAGGTTGCTCCTGTAGCCAGCTATGTAGTCACTATGCTTACCGTTAAATTTCCTATTTAAAAAAAAAAGAAAAAAAGTTGCTCGAAAATAAATTTCAATTGGGCACCGCCTTAGTCAAATTTTGTGTCAGCCAGTTAGCCAATTTAAAGAAGCTGTTAATTAAAGACGACCCACAAGCCTCACCGCTAGAAATTCACTTTCATTTACCCTCTACACACACATACACACTCACACAAACATTCAAAGTGTGATGCTTAACAGAAGCTACGTTGCACTCGGCGCCAACAAAGTTCGCAGCTTAAGTCTTTCGTTTGAATACGGGACTCGCCTTAAAATTGCTGTATACCGGAAAATAAATTGAATTTTCCAATTTTCGCAACAAACGCCTCCACATTGGGTAAATGTGTACATATATACATACATACAAAATCGCATGCTGGCTGCACCTTGTGTATAAATACTAATTCCCGTGTTACAGTCTCTTGCCGCTTGCCTCCCCACACCTACCAAATTACTCGTTTTGTTTTTTTTTGGTTTTTTGACTGCCTGTGCGGTTTAGTCGCACATTTATCATTTTGTTTGAGGGCATGGAAAAAGTCAAACGAGTCGCTTCAACATCACGGACTTGCCACAGTTGTTTGCTTTTTGCATATTGTAATAGTTTGTGGCAAGCAAAAGCTAAAGATTTGCTACTATGTCGCATGCGGCGAAGAGTGTGTAAGCGTATAACTAACCGAAATTGGCAGTAATATTCCCATAGTGCGAGTATTGGCAATAAAGTGAAACAAGAAATAATAGAAAAATACATTGAAAAATATTTCCATGCAACATTTTCATTAAAAAGTAAAAATTTTCTATGTCCTCAAATTACCTGGCAGACTTAGCAAAGTGTTAATAAGCGAGTAATTGACACCGATGATTCGCATGTTGGTGGATGGAGGAGAGGAGATATTAATGGGACTCAATACTTTGGTTTCAAGACTAAACCTTTCCGGGCAGAGCCGACTCCCTCCATAAACTTAATCGTGGAAATGAAAGTGACAGCAATTCAGCTCAATTTTGTTTTGCTGGAATCCTTTCTGTGCATAGAGATTTTCAGCAAAGGAAAAATTACACATCAGTGGGATGAGTCCAAGGCTGTTTCCGCTGAGCACAACATGTTTATGAGATGCTCCAAGAAAACATGGAAGAACCCTTCAAGGAAGCTACTGAATACCGTTGCCTACTTGCATACAGATATAGGAAAAAATTGCATGAACTTTGACATTGAAATAATTAATACATTTTTGGTAGGAAGCAGTCACAAATTTCTTGCTGGGTTAACCCAAAACTTTTACCAATATCGATAGGAGAAGATGTTGAAATTTGAGAAATCTGAAATAGTTATAATATTTTTTTGTTAAATCTACAAAGTAAATTTCAGAATATGAACATCCGACTTGAGTGTCCGTGCGGTTTGTGTGAAAACTGGGCCATTCTTAAGACTGATGAAAGATTTTTTGAACTGTGTACAAGCTGAGCTTTTGCACACCTTTTGGGGGTAAGGCGGTATCAGGTAATTAAAATCGAAAACGCCTCCGTATCACATATTTAATATTGCTCTGTGTGCCATCTTGAGCAAAGAGGATACCTTCGATATTACCGCCTGTGGATCCGGTTTTAGAGGAACTGTTCCAAAGACTCATATATCATTCAGCTGTAGGTTAGATCAACGCTAAAAGCGTAATATCATCATCCTTGGATAATACTTTCGTGAAAATTGGAGTTAATAGAGGCTGCGAGGTCTCTTTATTTTTTTATCCTTTGTGATAAGCAACCTATTAATTATACTATAGAAGAGTGGTTGCAATGCCGTTCTGTGTACCGAATAACACTGTGCGACAGCCGAAACCAGCCCGTTATTTATTAACATTTTCTGAAAGTATACCTATCCAATAATAAAACACTCGATGCATTTGTAAAAGTTGGCTCGTATTGTCAGCTGTCTATGTCAGCTGTATATAGCTTTTTAATTAACTCATAGGCTTACTAAAAAACTATGCACAGTGGGTTTAAAAAGTCTTCTATACTAAAAATAGAAAAAATCTCCCCAACATTCGCAATAAAGAATTAAAGAAGAAATGCAGAAAATCCAAAAATAATTAAGATACAAATTAAAAATGGAATTGAATCTAAACCAAACCGAATACAAATTGAAGACGAATGCCAAGCGAAGGCAAATAATACGAAAATCAAGAATAAGTAAATGATGACGCGCCAACTGTGTACCACTACTGACCTACTAAGACGGCGTACAGGCGCGTTGGCGCACGTTAATGCGACGAAAACCACAACCAACAACGCAACAGCAAGTGTGCGCGACGATAAATGTGAAAAAGAACGAAACAAAAACGACGCAACAACAACAACGCAACGCAAGCGCACAGCGTGCAACTAAAAAAGCACAAAGATTAAAGTGATGAATAGGCGTTTTAGAGAAGCGAAAGGCAAGCGTTGTAGGGGGAGGCGAGAGATAACATGCTTAGAATGAGTGAGGTAGAGAGCAGGCGAGCGATGGAGCAAAGCAAACGAGCGCACGCGCAGTGCAATTGCGGCAAAGTGAGGTAGACAAGCGACTAATCAGCTGAGTACGCTACGGAGGAGATGGTTTGCTTAGCAAAGCTGCCATCTACTTATTTGGTACACTAGGGTGGTCCAAAAATGCATGTGGGGAAAAAAGTCGGAAGTTGTACTTTTTACTTTGAAACGAAAAATTTTTTTAAAGGTCATTGAAAGCGCTCAAAGTTTCCCATGTAACTTATATGGGGAAAAAATCACTTTTGGTAGAAATGGTATATAATTCTTGAAATGCAATATAAATCGATCGGAAAACTCTGTTTCCCTTCAGGCGATTCCCAATAATAATACCCAATTATTTATTTAACAATTTTTTTCATAGTAACTATATTTATAAGTCTGCCAAAACCACCATAAAATGCCAGAAACTGAAATGGAGGGATAAATAAAAAATCGTTAGTATTAAAAATTGGTTAAATAAACCATTGAGTATTATTATTGGAACTCTTCCGAAGAGAACCACATGAAAAGTTGTTTTTTCCCTACATGCGATACTTTGAGCGACCACCAAATTTTTTTTTTTTTTGATTTCACATTAAAAAATAGGGGTATATTTTTTCGGATATAGAACAATCCTAGAGGGTGAGAGCATTAAAATTCCGACTTACCTTGTTTTGGACCACCCTAATGTACATACATATCTATACACGCACACACTTGTACATATATGTAAATATGTATATTTTACAGCTGACTAACAGCCTAGCTAACTAGACAACTTGCTGGCGTTTTGCAAGTCTGCCCATCTGGCCAACCATCTATCTGTGTTTTTGTCTCACAGGTCTCACAGTAGTCAAGTCGATCTTCACTTCATTACAACCATTTCCAACAGTGTTGCCAGGAAGTTTTCGTGAGAAATCTGCCAAGTGAAGATTAGATCTTAAAAAAGTTGCAAAAAATTTCAAAAAAATTAAAACAAAAAATTTTGTTAAACAAATATTTTTTTAAAGATTTTAATTTAAAAAAAAAAAAACTTAAATTTTGTTTATTTCGCAAAAATATTTATTAAGTACACAAAGTTTGATAAACAAACAAAAATTAACAAACTTTTTCAATCATCCCAAAACGGTACGATTTAACTTAAGTCATCTATATTTTTTATGAATGTCCTGCAAACATAACAATTGCAAAAAGTTGCAAGAAGGAGAAGTAGGTTTGGAGAATTATCAATACCACATAGCGTTCGGCCAGCGGTTGAAATTTAACTACTAAAATTAAGGGGACTTCAGATGAGTTAAGGTGAGTTAGAGTGAGTTGAGCTGAGGTGAGGTGAGTTGAGAGAAGGTAAGTTGAGGGAAAATTACATTAATTAGGTGAGTTAAGTTGAGATGAGTTGAAGTGAGGTGAATTGAATTGATTTGAGATGAAGTGAGGTGGGTTAGGGAGAGGTGAGTTAAGGTGAGGTGAGTTAAGGTGAACAGAGAGGTGTTGAAGTGAGGTTATTTGAGGTGAAACGCGTTAAACGACATAACATAGCCTAACTTAACATAACATAACATAACAGAACATAACAAAACATTATATAACTTTACATAGCATAACATAACATAACGAAACAAAACACAATATATCATAGCAACACATAACATAACACAACATAGCATAGCATAACATAACATAACATAACACAACATAACACAACATAACAAATTTATGTCGTTCATCAGTTTTATCTTTTTCTTTGTCCCACTCTTTGTCTCTATCACTTTTCTATCTTTGTCTTTATCGTTTTTAATTTCTGTTTTTATATTTTCAACTAACTTCAAAAAAAGCGAGGAGGTTATCAAGTCGTCGGAATATTTTTTTAAATACGTTTCCGCTTTATTTGGACCACGACAACTGTTTTCGACAATTATTTTGTATCAGGAAAGTTTTACCTCAACCACCCTACTAATTTGGTTAAGTTCCGATCTTTGAATAATGAAGAAATTAACGGTACTCCTAAACCTTTATATGAGCCTTAAAGTCGGTTGTATTTTGTTAAATATTTTTTAATCTGCCTTATCCACAGTTTCGCCCGGAAAAAAATGCATCCACCCATAATAATAGCATGGAAACGAAAAGTGAAAAGTGAACCGGTTCGGGGAAAATGAAACTCATGATTAGACTGAATGTCTTCAGTTTAAGATTTTTATTAATTTTTTTTTTTAA